GATGAGCTCGCAATCTATAGGTCGCATGAGTGACAAGAAGGTGTTCCGTCTTAATTTCACCGCGATCGTACAAATTCTTCGGGTCACGTTGCTCGCAACGCGCCCAGTAATAACATGGCATGCGCGCCAACGGGACCCGTGAATTTGGCAGCACTTCCTACTAGTTCCAGTAGCAATTCAGTTGCATTCATACCACAGCGTACTTGCTTGCAGTGATGATTTGCAGAAGCAGCTGCATTGCAACAATATTTGCTACCAAGCCGATTCACATCGCTACCAATCATATTGAGATGTTACGCATGGGATGCTTCCGTTGGACTGGAGTTGACACATCGTGGAACGCAGGGACTTGCATTGCTGTCGCAAGCGGTGTGCAAGATTGTATCGTCTTTCGGAATCCACTGGTGTGCAAGTTTAAGCTAGCGTGGACATTTGCACAGGCGTCGTTCGCAACCATGGCTCTGGACATACGCGTAAGGGACAGGCTGGCCCACGGCTGTCGGAAAGTCGCGAGGGGAAGACATTAGCAGCATAGCCATCCATCGCCATCAGGAGCCCAATGTGGCAAGGAGAGGGGCGCAGGGAAGGCAAGGCAGCGTGGGATGTGTAGGGGGTGGGTGGTGGCATTCTTGGTCAAGAAACTCCTCGACCATGGGTATGTTGTCCGTGTTTTTGATGTGCAGTGCGTGTTGCATGCGTGCTTTTTGCGTTTGGTGCACGGAGCACGTGCGTAATCATTCATTTTCTTGTTCTCGCAATCCGATGTGGATGACGAGTTCCACCGGCGGTGATGTCCACCTGCGTTCAAAACGTTGCTACGAATCACGCTTGACAGTCCGTTTTTTCGGCCTACTTAGACCCGACTTATCTTCGCGCGACAATGACTGCAACCATGCGGGAGATACTTGCATCCAGAGCGTCCCCAATGCTGCCCAGGTGCAGAGGCCGGGGCTCTACCAGGCCACGGCCGCGGCCTTTGCCAGCAAGGATGTCGCTGCCAGGCAGTGCCAGTAGATCCATGGCAGCTGCTGGTGCTCCAGCCGAAACTACAGGACATGCTGCAGCAGGCGCTGCTGCACCCGGTGCTGCTGCGCCAGGTTCTGATGCGCCAGGCGTTGATGCTTCCTCTTTACTGCGACATGCATTGATGCTGCAGGCACCAGTATCCACGGGCGCAGCGTTACCAGCGCGGAGTCGATACGCTGGAGTCTTGGTTCGCCGGGGTCTCGGTTCGCCGGGGCTTGGTTTGCTGGGGCTTGGTTCGCGGGGCTTGGTTCGTCGGGGCTCGCATCGCCGGGGCTTGGTTCGCCCGGCGGCGCCCGCGGCGGCCGACGGGCCCGCTGGCCGCGAGGGGGGCGGGGAAGGGACGGCCACCTCCCGCGCGTCGAGCTCGCCACCAGCGGGTGGGCTGCGGGCGGCCGCCGCCCCGGTGCGCCGTCCAGCGGCGGCCGCGGTTCCCATCGGGGCGCCCGAGGCCGCCATCAGCCGTCCATAGGCCATGCAGCCTTTCGGTCTGGACGACGGCGGCCTGGCCGACTGGGCGGAGGAAGTCGCGGCGGCGGAGGAGCGCAAGCGGAGGCGCCTCGCGGGCCCCCCTGAGCCGTGAGCTGAGGTGTGGAGAGCGCGCGGCGGCGGTGGGCCCCTCGCGCGAGGACTTCGGCGTTGCCAGCCTTCTATGGCGGCAGCGCTTCCAGCGGGCCTCCGCCGAACCAAAAGGTCATGCGAGGCACTGGCGCGCTCCTTCCGCCCCCTGGCGTGTGGCCCCGTGGGGCTCCGAGGCTCTGGCCCGTTCGCCGCTGGGTCCCCTGGGTGGGTGGGGCCTTGAGGGTCCTGGGGTGGGGCCCAATGTGGCCTGCCCCCTTTTCTCGCTCTCTCTCTCTCTCTCTTTTTTGTTTTCTCTCTCTCTCTCTCTCTTTCTTTTTCTGGCTTTAGGCCCCCACAGCTTCAGCTTCAGCACGGCAGATCAGCAATGCAGGCCTTCGGAGCCCAGTAGGCCCTAGGAGTGCGGCGGGCCACAAGGGGTACGGCAAACAACAGGAGCACGGCAAATCAACACAATGGACCGACAGCAATTCTGTTGGTCGTTTGTGCGTTGTTCCCGTGCTTCTTTGCGGGTTCTCAGCCGGTCGTTCCCTGACAGGCTGCGTGGACAGGAACGACGCCTCCCGCTCTTGTCCATGTAGGTTCCTGGAGAATGGCCGGTTCGCCCGAGACATGTTTGAAACATTCGGCATCGGAAGGAATCTCGGAATCGTTCCAGGAGGGTTCGAAGCGACGAAAAAGAGCCCCGCAAGCCCCCTTAGACGATTCCAAGAGGGCAGCGAGAGGCCCCCGGGAGCGCCTCAGGGGGCCCGCAGGTGGCCCAACAAGATGGCGCCAAGGCGGCCTGAGAGAGCGCCCCGCAGAGCCTTCGGTCACTCCCAGACAGCCCAGCATCACCCCCCCAAGGAGGAGCCCAGACGGGCCCCCAGGAGGCCCCCAGGAGATGACCAAGACGACCCGAGGCAGCCCAAACAGACCCCAGGGTAGCCCCAGAAGATCACGAAGACTCCGCCTTCCTTCGACGTCCTTTTCCTCGGGCTCCTTGCCGTCCGTCGTCGTCGTCGTCGTCGTCGTCGTCGTCGTCGTCGTCGTCGTCGTCGTCGTCGTCGTCATCGTGGTCGTCGTCGTCGTCGTCGTCGTCGTCGTCGTCCCATTCCTCCTCATTCTCATCCGCTTCGTTCTCCCTCGTACTGAACCTCCTCCATCTTTTCCTCGTTTTTGTGCTTGTCTTCCTACCTCGTTCTCCTCCTGCTTCCCTCCTTGCTTTCCCCGTCATCCACGCTGTCGTCCTTGTCGTCCGCCGCCTCGTCGTCGCCATCATCCTTGTTTCTTTCCCCCCTACAGCCCCAATGGACAACATTGGCGCTTTCCCAAATGACAACATCGTGTCCGATCAGGTTTCTTGTCTGGTCTGTCTGCTCTGGGTTGGTCCGGTGTTTTTCTGGTCTATCGTATCTTGCGTTGTTGGCTTGTTCTGGTCTGTCTGATCCTGTTAGTCTTGTCTGCGTGTCTTCTTTGGTCTGGTGTGTTTGGTCTGACATGTGTCTGGCGTGGTCCATTTGGTGTGGTCCAGCCTGGCCTTTGTGGCTGGCCTGTCAGGGATTCGGTTCTCGTCTGGCCGGGTCTGTCTGGTCTGCCGGTCTGTCTTGCCCAGTTTGGCCAATCTGACTGCATCTTATTTGCTCGCCTGTTAGAAGTCAGGTCAGTGGATGGGTGGCCCAAAAGGGGGCACAGGGAAACGTCGGAGTACAGTCGGGAACGCTCGGTCTTCGTATTTCCATTGGCAATTCCCATCATGTCTGTCTTCAACCGAAATTGTTCCCGATCTTTCGATATTGCTATCCTGCGTCGCTTGCTCCATTCATCGCCTTCTCGCCGTCTCTCCAGCTCCTCATCCCATAAAAAAGATCCCGAGCTCTCTGTTGGAGTGAGTAGCATCGCTCCTGTGGTTGTGTACAGAACCGCTTGGCATTGTTCGCAATGTGCATCTGGGCGCGCTTGCCTCGTGGGTCAGAAACATGGTCCGCAGTCAGTCTGCGGGAGCTCTCCTCCGTCATACATCGGGAGTCTGCTGGGAATCAGTTGCTGCGCTTGGCAGGTCAGCATTTCCCATTTCAACTTCGTGTCGCAAGCGCGACCACATAGTTACCCACCGTCGGCTAATCTCCTGCTCCTGCTCCTACTTGCCCTGCTCATCTCTTTCCTCGCTGTCGTATGTAGACTTTCTCGAAGTCCCTTCCCTGGCCGTGTCTCCTTATTCGCGCATCGTCTCCCATCCTGGAGTTTTCTGTCTCGTCCTGCTTCGAGCTCCAACATCGTAGCGTTGCGGTGGTGACATGCATGGACTGTTGGGTGACCTGCGCTAGATTGGAAGACCTTTTGTGGTGGTGTCTCTTGAGCTAAGCGTGCAAGATTGTGAATGCTTCTGGGTCCGTAAGGCAGCTGGCAGAGAGACAGAGAGAGGGGTATACACACATGAAGAGCGAGAGAGAGAGAGACAAGTAAAGAGAGAGGGAGGGAGAAAGAGACAGAGAGAGAGAGAGAGAGCGCGAGAGAAAGACACAGAGAGAGAGAGAGAGAGAAACATAAAGGGAGAGAGAGAGAGAGACAGATAACATCTATATATATACACAGAGAAAGAGAGATAACGAGAGAGAGAGAGAGCGAGAGAGAGGGAGAGAGATAGATCGGACAAGCAGACGGGCGTCCCGTCGACAGCCAGCTACTGCGGTAGCCAAGGCCGCCATTGCACGCTTAGTGGTGGTGCCCACCTTGGGGTGCGGGGCGCCTGCGCGCGCGCCTCGCTCCCGCGGCGGCCGCCTCGGCTCCACCTCCTTCCGCTTTTTCCTTGGCATCGCTCGGACGTGTGCACTTTTTCTTCGGCGGGGGCCATCGAGGAGCATCTTCGCTCATCTTGCGAAACGCACACGCGCGAAATCGAAACATGGACGGGGAATGGACGTCCGAGCAATGACGAGCTCCAACAGGCGCCTCCCCTGTCTTCCAACGCATTGGAAAAGAAAAGCGCTTTCGGCTCCTGAGGGCCCCCACCGGGCCCGGGACCCTTCGGATAACGACTCGGGACGGAAAGCTGGACCCAGGAACAGGGTCGGGACCGTCAGCCGCGCGCAGAGGGGGCTGGGGGGAGGGGGGAGGGCTTCTTGGAAGCACCCCTGCTTCCTAGAAGGCGCGGGCCTCATATGTATATATATATATATATATATATATATATATATATATAGATGTAGGGCTGGCGCCTTCTGAGAAGCAGCCTCCTTCTCTCAGAAGCCCTCCCCCCTGCCTCCACCCCGTGGTGCGCGCCGCCAACCTCGGGGAACACGGTATTGAACAAAAGTGATACATCGGATCTCTGGGTCTCGCCCCCCGATCCCCTCCAGCGCCCTCCCCGTATGCAGCCATGGCCCAGGCCAGCGCGGGGGCCAGGGCCGCGGGGTCCAATGAGGCCTGGCGGCGAGGCTGGCCTCGGCGGCGCCGTATCCGCGGCTGCCGCCGACGCGGCTTTGGCGGAGCATGTCCGGGGCATTGGGCGCGACGCCCTCCTCAGCAGTATCTTTGCGGAGATACAGAGGGTTGCCGAGCGCGCCTTGCTGTCAACTGGCCTTGTTCACGGGTCCGACGGCACCTGCGCACTCGACAACATTTTCATGGGCTGGTGTGTCCCCCAGATCGACACGGTAGACGATTTCGAGCACCTCGAGGCGCACGACAGGCAGGGGCAAACCTGCTGGTTCCGCGCTTGCGTTCACTCGGGATTCTACCTGCCGCCTGAGGCTCGTGCTCGTACCGAGCCGAAGGCGAAATCGGCGGCGAGCCTGGGGGGGGGGAGTGACAATGGGGCCGGCCTCGGCAGAAGGCTCGGAAGCCCCTCAGCCTTCTGAGCAGTTTCCTGAGCCCTCCCCGAAGGCACAGACAGCCGCCCTCAGAAGGCCGGAGGCCTTCTGAGAAGCCCCGCCGCCTTCCGAGGAGGCCTCCTCCTCCTCGCCTCCCCCCCCCCCCGTCCTCGCTCGCCGCCGACCAGAGCGGGCCCCCGGGAGCACGCCAAGGGGCCCTGGCCTGGCCGAGGCCCCGTCGGAGCGCAGCCGGGCTGGCTGGCGTGCCGACGGCCGCCGGGCCCGGCCAGGGGCTCCGTGCGCGCGCTCCCGGGCGCGCGCCTGCCCTCGGCGGGGCGGCGCCGGAGCACGGCCCTAAGGCCTCCTACGTGAGGCTGCAGATCCTGGGCGGCAGCAGGACAGGACGACGAGAGCCAAGTGCACAGCCGCTGCCCCGGGCCCGGCCCACGCTGGGCCCAGGAGGAGGAGGAGGAGGAGGAGGAGGAGGAGGAGGAGGAGGAGGAGGAGGAGGAGGAGGGAGGATGATGAGATGATGATGATGATGATGATGATGATGATGATGATGATGATGATGATGATGATGATGATGATGATGATGATGATGATGATGATGATGATGATGATGATGATGATGATGATGATGATGATGATGATGATGATGATGATGATGATGATGATGATGATGATGATGATGATGAGGAGGAGGAGGAGGAGGAGGAGAGGAGGAGGAGGAGGAGGAGGAGGAGGAGGAGGAGAACGGGAGGAGGAGGAGGAGGAGGAGGAGGAGGAGGAGGAGGAGGAAGCAAGGGGAGAAAGTGGAGAAGGACGAGGACGAGGAGGGTGAGGGGGAGGAGAGGGAGGAGGGAGGAGGAAAGCGGTGCAAAAGTTGTGCCTCCCTGGCCAAGCCAGGAGGGACACAGCGCTCCTGGTGGCCCAGGGTGGGCGTGGCCTGGGGCAGTGGCTGCGTATAGGTTTAAGTCGGGCATGTTCCTCTACAGGAGGAAAATTTAAAACTAGTGAAAAATAATATGGGGATGATTCTCCAACAATTTTTAACTACTTTCGAACATTTTTTGGGGGGCTATTTTTCAAATTTCGGCCAAAATCCGCCTGTAGGAGGACGTGCCCGACCTAAGCATAGGTCTGGTCGCCCCACAGGAGCGAGGTTCACAGGAGCCGGGTGGTGCCGGCCTGCGAGCTGCACCTGTGGGAGCTCTGCGTGGAGGAGGAGGTCCAGGGAGCCCCCGTCTCGGGTCCAGCCCCTACCCATGGCTAGGGGTAGGCTTCCAGCTGGGCGGCCATCTTCTGCCGTCGTCCTTGTGCGTCTGGTGGCGGTGGTCCTTTGAAAACGTGCAGGACTGATGAGCGCCAGTGTTCAGCAAGGCAATTCGATGCCAGCGCGTGGGGGCCCCAAATACTGAATTAGTGCATCGTGTGCGTTGTAATGTGTACGGCGCAGCTCATTGTGAACATCTTGAAGGCGTCAATTCCGATGCTCAACCAAACATTTCACGCACCCACCAATACCCAGGAGTACTGACGTGAGGATCCTTGCCCTGCAGATCCATGGCTCGGGTGGGCGAGCGACGATGGTGACGAAGGCATCGGAAACAGCGTCGATTCTGATGCTGCTGATGATGATGACGACGATGACAACCTTGTTCTTAATGATGATGATGATGATGATGACGACGATGGCAATAACGATGATGATGGCGATGCCGATGATGATCATTTGAGGATGGTGATTATAATGATGCTGCTGCTGATGGTGATGCTGATGATGATGATGCAGCTGATACTGATGATGTTGATGATGATGATGCTGATGCTGATGCTGATGCTGATTACGATGACGATGACGATGACGATGCCGATGATGATGATGATGATGATGATGATGATGATGATGATGATGCTGATGAGGATGATGATGACTATGATGGTTCTGATGCTGCTGCTGATGATGATGACGATGCTGATGCTGATGAGCATTAGGATGATGACGGTGACAATGACGATGCCGATGACGATGATGATGATGACGATGCTGATGCTGATAGCGATGATGATTATGATGGTGATGATGATGATGATGATGATGATGATGATGATGATGATGATGCCTCTGATGATGATGATGCGGCTGCTGATGATGATGCTGACGGTCATGATGATGCTGCTGCTGATGCTAATGATGATGTTGATGATGATTCTGATATGATGACGACGATGATGCTGCTGCTGCTGATGATGATTATCAAGATGCTGACGATGATGTGATGATGATGATGCTGCTGCTGATGATGATTCTGATAACGACGGTGGCGATGATGATGAAGATGGTGATGGGGATGAGGGGATTGTGATAAGCATGGCGATGGCAATGATAAGGGTTTCGATGATACGAGCAACTGTGCTGCTGATGATGAGCATGACGAAATGCGCGCGCGCAGAGACTTTGACATCTTTGTACCGAAACACCGTCGTTCCCGGAAAGGGCCTGAGCCCAGGGTTCTGTTTATCGTTGGTCAATTGTCGGTGGTGCCAAGATCGAAGAGGGCTGGCCGATTTCCGCTCGATAAACAACGAGGTGAAGCCCGATCTTACGTGTGCTCCCCATGTCGGATCCTCGATCAACGACGGGGTCCGCAGATCCCCGTTTTCCTTAGTGGGTAATGAGGTGCAAAGCGTTTCGCGCAGAATCCGCGATGAATAAGAAAGTTTGGAGGCCCCACAGATTTGCATAACATGAGCAACTGTTGACTTTTTGCGTGCCCGCTCGAGGAGGGTGCGTCGTGCGCGAGGACATTTCGAGGACGCCTCGAGCGAAAGGCTCGTGCTGCAAGACTCGAGAGGCTTCGGCGCCCCAGGATGCCCACGCAGTTTTGGGAATGCGGACGCGTGTGGAAGCACATGGGTTGCTAACGTCCCGGGGCGAGACAGTCGTGACAGCACGTGGGTTCCGAACGCCCCAGGGCGGGACAAGCGTGGAAACACATAGGGTTCCTAACGCCTGAGGGCGCGACCAGCGTGAAGACGTGCAAGTTGCCAACGCCCCAGAGCAGGACAAACGTGAAACCACGTGAGTCTCCAACGCCCACGAGCGGGACAAGCTTGAAACCACGTGGGTTCCAAACGCTCCAGAGCGGGACAAGGATGACAACACGTGGGTTCCTAACGCCCCAGGGTGGGACCGGCCTGAAAACACAGAGCGGGACAAGCGTGAAAACACATGAGTCCCTAACGCCCCTGAGCGGGACAAGCGTGAAAACACATAGTTTCCTAACGCCTCAGAGCGGGACAAGCGTGAAAGCACACGAGTCGCTGACGCCCTAGGGCGGGACAAACGTGAAACACATGGTTCCTAACGCCCTCGAGCGGGACAAGCGTGAAAACACGTGGGTTCTACCGCTCCAGAGCAGGACACGCTTGAAAACGTGGATTCTGGACGTCCGAGAGCGGGACAAGCTTGAATACACATGGTTGCTGACGCCCCAGAGCGGGACAAGCGTGAAAACACATGCGTTCCTCACGCCCCAGAGCGGGGCAAGTGTGAACCACGTGGGTTCGTAACGCCCCTGAGCGGGACAAGCGCGACAATACATTGTCTCCTAACGGTTCCGGGAGGCCCCAGGAGTCGTCCCAGGAGCTCCCAGGAGGCCCCCTATCAGAACGATTGATTTCAGTTATGGCACATCCGGTGTCGGTTCATTGATTTGCTCTTGCTATCATGCCCCCCGTCCAGTGCCCCAGCCTTGCTTACCTTGTGAGCGGGTGTGCGCTAGATGAGACTGTAGACGCTCTATTATTCACGCTGGTCCGATTTTCAAGGGCCCTGCCTGTTCCCAAAAGGCCGCCCTGGGGACCTAGATCCGTCGTAATTGGGTGAGCTGTCTCCGGATTCCTGGGCCGCATCTCGGCCCGCGGATTGCCAATGGGGGTGACCATTGAGCAGAGTTGCAGGACACGCCCCGGCTGCCGGCGTGGGCACCCCACGCATCCCCCAGAGCGTTCCCTGAGAGCTCCCCCTTGACATCCGCGTGGAAGAGGGGGGGGGCCACGTGCTCGCCTGGGCCGCCGGCAGCATCCGGCTCCGTGACGGTCGAGCCGACAGCCCGCCGGGTGCTGGGCGAAGGCCTCCCCGGACCCTCGCCGTCATGACTCTTTCGCACCGTCGGCCACCAGAGGTCTCGACCCGTTCCCCAGGACTGGCCTTTCATCCCGAGTTGTTCCTTGACTGTCCTGGGGCCTGACGGGGGCCGCCAGGGGGCCGAGGAGTATCAGAAGCCTTCGGCTGCCTCTGTTCTGATCTTCGACGCCTGCAGGTCTGGGGAGGGCGCCCCCCCCGAGGTCATCATCGCGGGCCACAGCAACCGCCTCCTGCTCCAGGTCTACGGCAAGCGGCAGTGCATGGGGGACAGGCTGCTGGGGTGCGTGGAGGTCCCGTTGCCGCAGGCACCGACCCAGCGGCCCCGCAGGCGGAGCCGGCGGCTCCAACGCTGCAGCTTTCGGGGGCTCTTCCCTGCCCCCCAGACATGCCCGCGTCGCCAAAAGTCACGACTCGAGGTTTTCGGCTGTCTTCGGCCTCTGGGGGCTCGGGCCAGGCCCTGGGACTGTGAGGCAAGGCCTCAGGATGAAAAGCCGGTTGCAGGAATGGGTCGAGCTCTTTGGGGGTCGACGTGGTGAAAAAAACATGACGTTGTTCCTGCTGCTGCTGCTGCTGCTGCTGCTCCTCCTCCTCCTCATCCTCCTCCTCCTCCTCCTCCTCCTCCTCCTCCTCCTCCTCCTCCTCCTCCTCCTCCTCCCCCAGCGCCGCTGGCTCCTGCTCCCCAGCTCCTGCCCTTGCCGCGGCGCGCCCCGTGCCGGGCGCTCTGCGGGAGACCGGGGCCGGAGCACCCCCTCAGGGCTCGGCTCCTGCCGCCTCCTCGTCGGCGCCGTCCTGCGGCCTGACCTGCTGGCCTCGCCGCCACCACCGCCTCGCCTCGTGCCCCGTCTGCCCGTCCTTCCCGTCCTCGCCGTCGCCGTCCTCCAGCTTCGGCATCTCCGGGTGTGTCGCTGTCGTCGCCACTCCTGCACCGTTTCGCGCAGTGCTCATGTGCCTTGCGTCGCACATGCAGGTTTCCCGGCACAACCGTACAGATGTATATGTATATCCGTAAGGGCTTCGCCCTCTGCCGCCGGCCCCCTCTCTCGGAGAATGGGCATGCAAGAGCTATGTTGTGAGGCCTGGGCGCCGTCGTGAAGCAGCGTCGGAACTCCGAACGAGGGCCACTTGAAACATCTGGGTGCATAATGTATTATTTACTTCCTCGGAGACGCGAATATAGAATAGTTGACGCAGGATTATGGTCTGGGGAGCGCGAACACAGCGTAATTTGCTAGGGTTTATGGCCTCGGGCACGCGAATCTGGTATTATTTAATTGAACGCCCCTGAGGGGGCAGACACCGCCGCCCCACTTTTTTTGGGAACGTGGAGGTTGCGTGGGGGGCAAATCGGGATGTAGCGGGGGTGTTCACTCAGCTTTGGCTGGGCTTTTGTTAAGTGGGGTCTTAAAGACCCTCAGAAAGCCCCAAGAGAGCCAGGACATGACCTAAAAAAGACGCCAGATTGGACAGTAAGGTCTCAGAGGGCCTGGAAAAACAAGTGGCACGCGTGCCCTGGCTCTTGCACAAAGGAGTTGCGAAGGACAGGAGGCCCCCGCCTCCTTCTTCCAGGAGGGGTTTACGAGGAACCAGGAAGAAAGCGGAGGAGGAGGAGGACGACGACGACGACGATCTCTGGGCCCTGGCCTGGTTTTGTTTCTGGGCCCTGGCCAAGAGTGCCCCAGTGGCTCCCCAAGAGCCCCCAAGAGGTCAGAATTGTGAGGATGTCTCAGGCGGCAGTGGCCAGACCGCCTGCTCAGGGCATCCCGCAACTTAGAATGGCGAGGGTTTCAGGCGGAAGTGGCCGGACCATCATGGGGCAAGGCACCTCCGAGGCAGAGTTCGGCAATTGTCTCAGACGAAAGTGGCCTGACCACCTCGGCAGATGTGGTCACACGACACGAAATCAAGATGTCCGAGGCCCAGGGGGGCTGCCATGGGAAGCCTGGACGGGGGAGCTGGGTCTGGGGGGGGGCAGGGGGGGGGCAGGGGGACGAACGACACGACACGACACGAAAATAAAGGCGTCCGAGGCTCAGGGGGGCTGCCCTGGGAAGCCTGGGCGGGGGGGGGGCAGGGGGAGGGGGACGAACGACACGACACGACACGAAAATAAAGGTGTCCGAGGCCCAGGGGGGCTGCCCTGGGGAGCCTGGACGGGGGGGGGCAGGGGGGGGGGGCAGGGGGACGAACGACACGACACGACACGAAAATAAAGATGTCCGAGCTCTAGAGCACAGCTGTGCAAGAGAATAAAAAAGTGGGGTCCGAGCTCTAGAGCACAGCTGTGCAAGAGAATAAAAAAGTGGGGTCTTAAAGGCTCTCAGAAAGCCCCAAGAGAGCCGGACAATTATTTAAAAAGACGCCAGAAAACCGTAAGAGAGTCTGAGAATGATGAATGATTTAAAAGGGACGCCTGTGGGTGTGCAAAAGTGTAGACGAAAGGAAGAGGCATACGGAGAGGCGTACAAACGAGACCCGAGTTAGTTTGGGGGCCTCAAAAGGGACTCCGGGGACCCCCTGGGCGCGCCCAGGACGGCCCTAGAAAGCCCCCAAAATGCTGCCAAACGGCGCAGGCCGGGGGCGGGAGGCGTGGAGGACAGCCGCAGAGAGCGCCCGCTGATTCCAACGTGCTTCCAAGAGCCCGCGAAGACGCACGTGAGCTCGAAACGAGGCAAAAATAGAGGCTCGACAAGGCCAGAATGGACATAATCACATGTGTTTTACGAGGTTTTTTGCGTGCTGATTTTTTGTAGTCGAAGGGGGCCGAGGAGAGGTGGGCGGGCTGCCAGACTGGACCAAAATGGCTTGGAGGACGGCCAAGATCGCCCCAGGAGAGCGTCTGGAGACTTCCAAAGTCGAGTCAGTGAGCTCCCAGGGAGGCCTCGGAGAGAGGCCGGCGGCGCCTTGAAGACGAACATTTCCAACGAGGTGTGTTCCGAAACGAAAATGATGGCCAAAGAGCGCTCATTCCGCAGCTGTGGCCCCCGGGCCGGCGGAATGAGCAGGCCGCGGGGAGGACCCCAGGAGGGGTTGCAAGGGCTCTGAGGAATGGGTATTGGTACGAGGAGTTCGTGCGCGCGCAGATTGAGGGGACTGAGTTCGTGCAGACCATGCGGCGGGGACCTCACGCGCCGTTCCGGGTGGGGCGGCGGATCGCTTCGCTCATCTCGCCGGCCCTGGAGCGCTATTTGGGGCCTCTTGGGGCCGTCTTGGGGGCTTCTTGGGGGCTCCTTGGGAGCGTCTTGGGGCTCCTTGGCGGCGTATTGGGCCCCCCTGGGGCCTCTTGGGGGGCTCTTGGGGCCCCTCGGGGCGGGAGGGGGGGTAGTCGTTGGCAGCCCGTGCAAGAATGACATCCAGAAGCATTGCATGCGGTCCACGTGCGAGTTTTGATAGTGATAAGTCGGGCCTGTCCCTTCACAGGAGGAATATTCAAACATAGTTTGACGATTTTTTGGCCATCTTTGAGTCTTGTTTGAATACTTTTTGGCTATTTTTATTTTTCGTTCAAAATTAGGGGGGCAGGCCCGACCTAATGATAGTGATACGACAAAACCGATGCGAGGTGTGAGAGCCCGCTTCTGGCGCATGCCTTAGCTCACACGGGGCCAACGGGGGCGTCAGTATGACTTCGTTGAAGCTATCGCCGATATCCTCTCTGGGCCACCTGGTGACGGATGGCCACTCTCATGGGTTCTGCTTTGGTGGTCGGGTCTTAGTACAGGTGCTCCTGGCCTCAGGTGTCCCTGCGGCAGATAGGGTGAGTGGCCCCGCTTGCTGTCAGATGGATGTCCTCCGGCCTTGGCGCGCTCCTTGCAATGCCCCACGTGCACCTGGGGGGACAAAGAGGTAGCGACACCGCTGGTCCCCCGAACCCCCTCTGGGGGTGCGCTCTGACCAGAACTTCGAGGCGAGTCCAGCTGCGGCGACGAGGGAAGGGAAGCGGTGTCAGAATGTTTCCTCTCCTCAGAGCTCCCCCCAGGCATACGACGTCTTGATTTTCTCCATACGCGGTCCCTGGAAGTCCCGAGCCTCTTCCCGGGGCTGTTGTTTTTGTTGTTTTTCCCCCGAGTCGTTTTGTTGACGGCTTGAGGCCCAGCGAGGGCCCCAGAGGCCGAACACTGCCAAACACCTTCCGTCGTGATTTTCCCCAGCGAAAGCCTGCTTGGGCTGCCCTCCTGCTCGTACCACCCTGCGCCAGCCGACCTAGGGTCGGCGTCACCCCAACATGCCTATGCTATACGTGGTTCGTTTCCTCAGGGGCGACGCGCGCACCGAGAAACCTCATGACATGTGCGTCGTGGCGGGCGCTTGCTGGCCACACCGGTCGGGAAACGATCTACCACAAGAGGGGTATATTATATGTTCGGGCCCGGACGCGCGCCTCCAAGGAGGAGGAGGAGGAGGAGGAGGAGGAGGAGGAGGAGGAGGAGGAGGAGGAGGAGGAGGAGGAGGAGGAGACGTCTAGTACTAATTATGTCCCTGCGCGTCCTATTGGGGCTCCCCACAGGCAGCGGCTGCTGCTCCGGGACGCGCCCTCCGCAGGCTGCGGGCCCCCTCTGGAGCCGGAGCTGCTCCTGGCCTGGGAGGCCCCGCGGCCAACGCGCGAGATCGGCTGGCGCCCTCTCCCTAGCGCGTCTCCCGCTCCCCCCCCTGCCCCCATCGAGTAAGAACAAAACGGCATAGGCATAAACTTTTGGCGCTCCGCGCGGACTTCTTGGATCCGCGGTGGGCCCCTCGGGCGGCGCCTCTGGCGCCGCCCCTGGCGCGCTCCGCGCGCCAGGGAGGGGGGTCCAGCGCAGATCCAAGAAATCCGCGCGGAGCGCCAAAAGTTTATGTCTATGCCGTATTTTCTTTTTCTTTCCACCCCACCCCCTCCCTCCACCTTCGGGGGTTCAACGATGGGGTCCTGAGAGATGGGGTCCTGAGAACGAGGTGCTTCAAGCAGGGCACATCCACCCCTGGGTCCCTTCCTATCCTCAGGACCCCATCCCTCAGGACCCCACCATCTTTGAGCGTCGGACACGTGGTCAGGCGTCGGGCTTCGCACAGACAGCCCCCCCAGGTGGTCCCGGCTGGCCTCCACAGGCCCCCCGAGTAGTCCAGGGCGGTTTTAACACTCGGGTCCCGCCTCTGGCGGCGCCCCTGGGGCGCTCCGCGCCCCAGGGCTGAGGTGCTGAGAGCCTGACTACTCGGGGGGCCTGTTGAGGCCAGCTGGGACTACCTGGGGGGGCTGTCTGGGCGTAGCCTGAAGCTTCACTACTCCAGGGTCCACCACTGGGATCCGATCGACTCGATTTGTTACCGATTCTGGCCGGCTCGGTCCGGTTCGATTCCGGTTTTCGACGGATCCGATGCGGCCCGATGCTTGCACGGCGCCGTTTTGCGGCCGATCCGATCCGATTCCGTTTCCGTGCCTGGTCCTCTCTCGACCGTCTTTTTCGGACCCTCGTTCGGTCCTGTGCTGCTGGGCGTCAGCGCTTGATTCGCACCCACGTCCAGAACAAACAAGAACCATTTCGCTCGGGGCCTTCGGTCGCCCGTTTGGGGCCCGGGGCCGAGCAGGGGCGAGGAGAGGCAGGACGGGGCGCGGGCGGACAGGAGCTGCGCAGGCTCCGCGGTCCCTCTGCGGCGGCATGCTTTCAGGGGTGCCTGGGGCTCGGGGCCTCTGCGCGGACCTGGGGCGCCCGCCTGCCTGTCCTGGGGGCGCGGGTGGGCGGCGGGCCCGGCAAGGAGAAGCAGAGCGGGAGGCAGAGTGGGAGCAGGGCACATCACACCTGCCGACGGTGATCATCACATGCACCCACCAGAAATGCCAAGGAGAAGCATCAAACTCCGTTGGCTCCAGATGTCGCTCAAGGAATCGAGCATTCGGACTGGAACCTTTGGCGTTCTCTTGGAGTTGTTCTCCGTTTCAAGAGAACACTCGGAGTGAAATCCATTATCTTAGCTTACCACTCTCTTAACTCTAAGCAGGGGTGTAGCTCGTACGGATAGGCAAACGATTCGCAGGTGTGCAGGGTGTGCAGAGCTTGTCACGGGGGCAGAAGGGTTCGGAGCTGGGGGGTGTTCGGCCCTCGGGGGAAAAGTCTGCCCTTGAAGCCTAGGCAAGTCCTGCGAGGTGCAAGTTTGCACCCCAAGCTGGGCTGAGCCCAGCCGCCCAGCCTGCTCCTGGGTGCATTTCACCCGATCTGGATCCGCCGCCCTCCCGGAGGGTTCCACAGGGGGTTCTTGGGGAGGTTTTTTTTTCAGGAGGGGTCCCCCAGGGGCTTCGCACCCCCTGTTGTGACGAGGTTCCAAGGCCCCTGGGGGGCTCTCTGGAAAACCCCCTCCCCCCAAACCCCCTTTTGGAACCCTCCGGCCCTCCCTCCCCCCCCCGATGCTCTGGCGCCCCGGAGGTGTGCGAGGAGCGAGAGAACAGGCCCAGCCTCGTGCAGCTCGCTGAGATGGGCGATGCGGCCACGGTGGTGCGCTGCTTCGTGCTGGAGGTGAAGCTCAAGCTCGCGGGGGGGTCCCGTTCCAGGAGCCTGCGGCTACTGCAAGTATTGCGGGCATCGGCAAGGGCGTCGCCGTGATCGGTGTGCATGTCTTTCCTCCAGAGGCCTTGCGGCCGGTGCCGCCGACCATGAAGGCAGGACCTCCCCCCGGGACCGCGGGTCCCCTCCCCGACCCTGTGGGCCGAGGCCGCGGCCCGGGCCACGGCCGGGGCCAGGGCCAGGGCCGGGACCAGGGCGGCTCCCCCCCCCACCCCAAAGACCGAGGGGCCCCCTCCTCGTCCCCGCTGTCCAGAGGCGGGACCACCCCACAGGACCCGCCCGGACCCCCAGGGGGGCCCGGGCGGTGATCTGACCCGGGACCCCCCGCCGGTATAACCCCCCCCGTATTCTCCCCTTCTGCCTACCCCCCCTCCCTGCCCCACCCCCCGTCGGGGAAGGGAAACTGGGAAGGGAATCGACTTAATTATGGCATTTGTTTGCTTTGTCCGTTCCTCAGTCCACTAAAGAGCGATTCTCGCGCGCCAGACACCGGACACCGGACACCGGACACCGGACACCGGACACCGGACACCGCACACCGCACACCGCACACCGGACACCGGACACCGGACACCGGACACCAGACACCGGACACCGGACACCGGACACCGGACACCGGACACCGGACACCGGACACCGGACACCAGACACCAGACACCGGACACCAGACACCGGACACCGGACACCGGACACCCGACACCGGACACCGGACACCGGACGCTGGACACTGGACACCGGACACCGGACACCGCACACCGCACACCGCACACCAGACACGGGACACCGGACACCAGAGACCGGATACCGGTCACCCGACACCAGACACCGGACACCGGACACCGGACACCGGACATTGGACACCGGACACTGGACACTGGACACCGGACACCGGACACCGCACACCGCACACCGCACACCGCACACCAAACACGGGACACTGGACATCAGACACCGGACACCGGACACCGGACACCGGACACCAGACACCGGACACCGGACACCGGACACCAGACACTGGACACCGGACATTGGACACCGGACACTGGGCATTGGACACCGCATACCGCACACCGCACACCAGACACGGGACACCGGACACCGGACACCGGACACCAGACACCGGACACCGGACACCGGACACCGGACACCGGACACCGGACACCGGACACCGGACACCGGACACCGGACACCGGACACCAGACACCGGACACCGGACACCGGACACCGGACACCGGACACCGCACACCGCACACCAGACACGGGACACCGGACACCGGAGACCAGACACCGGTCACCGGACACCGGACAATGGACACCGGACATTGGACACCGGACACCGGACACCGGACACCGGACACCGGACACCGGACGCCGGATGCCGGACACCGGACACCGGACACCGGACACCTGACACTGGACACCGTTGGTTGGTCGCTTGGTTGGTTGGTTGGTGGGTTGGTTGGTTGGCCGGTTGGTTGGTTGGTTGGCCGCTTGGTTGGTTTCCTGGTTGGCCCGTTGGCCGGTTGGTTGGTTGGTTGGCCGGGTTGCTGGTTGGTTTGTTGGTCGGTTGGCCGATTGATTGGCTGGTTTCATTACAAACAGGTTGGTTGGTTGGATGGTTGGTTGGTTGGTTGGCTGGTTGGCCGGTGCGTTGGCTGGTTGGCCGATTGGCTGGTTGGTTGGTTGGTTGGCCGGTTGGCCGGTTGGTTGGCTGCCGAGGGGGGCCGACGAGGTCCAGGTCTGTCAGAGAATCGCTGGGCGTATTCATTTTCTATTGTTTTGTAAGCAAGAAACTATATTTTGTTGAGTTTTCAGGCCGGGGTCCGAAACCTGAGAGAATCGTTTGGTATGTTTTTTCTTTGTTGCATTTTAAGCAGGAAACTATGCCTTCATTTCATAAAATTATCCCGGCAAAGCAACCTAACAGCGATGTGTAGGAGCATATCTGGAAGCATTCCCCTTAAGATTCGGATGAGAATCCAGTTGTAGAATTCTGCTGTTCTCGCAGTCGTAGTCGCATTCGCGATGACAGTCGAAGTGGCAACGGCAGTCGCAGTCACAGCCTCAGCCTCAGCCTGCCTCAGCCTCAGCCTCAGCCTGCATCAGCCTCAGCCTGCTTCAGCCTCAGCCTCAGCCTCAGCCTCAGCCTGCTTCAGCCTCAGCCTGCAGCCTCAGCCTCAGCCTCAGCCTCGGCTCAGCCTCAGCCTGCCTCAGCCTCAGCCTGCAGTCAGCCAGTCAGCCTCAGCCTCAGCCTCAGCCTCAGCCTCAGCCTCAGCCTCAGCCTCAGCCTGCCTCAGCCTCAGCCTGCCTCAGCCTCAGCCTGCAGCCTCAGCCTGCAGCCTCAGCCTCAGTCTGCCTTCAGCCTCGGCCTCAGCCTCAGCCTGCCTCAGCCTCAGCCTGCCTCAGCCTCAGCCTCAGCCTGCCTTCAGCCTCAGCCTCAGCCTCTGCCTTCAGCCTCGCCTCAGCCTCAGCCTGCCTCAGCCTCAGCCTGCATCAGCCTCAGCCTCAGCCTCAGCCTGCCTCAGCATCAGCCTGCCTCAGCCTCAGCCTCAGCCTCAGCCTCCTCAGCCTCAGCCTCAGCCTGCTTCAGCCTCAGCCTCAGTCAGCCTTCAGCCTCGGCCTCAGCCTCAGCCTGCCTCAGCCTCAGCCTGCATCAGCCTCAGCCTCAGCCTCAGCCTGCCTCAGCCTCAGCCTCAGCCTCAGCCTTCAGCCTCAGCCTCAGCCTCTCAGCCTTCAGCCTCGGCCTCAGCCTCAGCAGCCCTCAGCCTCAGCCTCAGCCTCAGCCTCAGCCTCAGCCTCAGCCTCAGCCTCAGCCTGCAGCCTCAGCCTCAGCCTCAGCCTCAGCCTCAGCCTCAGCCTCAGCCTCAGCCTCAGCCTCAGCCTGCCTCAGCATCAGCCTGCCTCAGCCTCAGCCTCAGCCTGCCTCAGCCTCAGCCTCAGCCTGCTTCAGCCTCAGCCTCAGTCTGCCTTCAGCCTCGGCCTCAGCCTCAGCCTGCCTCAGCCTCAGCCTCAGCCTGCATCAGCCTCAGCCTCAGCCTGCAGCCTCAGCCTGCAGCCTCAGCCTCAGCCTCAGCCTGCAGCCAGCCTGCCTCAGCCTCAGCCTCAGCCTCAGCCTCAGCCTCAGCCTCAGCCTGCTTCAGCCTCAGCCTCAGTCTGCCTTCAGCCTTGGCCTCAGCCTCAGCCTGCCTCAGCCTCAGCCTGCATCAGCCTCAGCCTCAGCCTCAGCCTGCCTCAGCAGCATCAGCCTGCCTCAGCCTCAGCCTCAGCCTGCCTCAGCCTCAGCCTCAGCCTGCTTCAGCCTCAGCCTCAGTCTGCCTTCAGCCTCGGCCTCAGCCTCAGCCTGCCTCAGCCTCAGCCTGCCTCAGCCTCAGCATCAGCCTGCCTCAGCATTCAAAATGTGGCCCGGGAATGGAGTTCTGGGAACTCGAAGAACACGAAGTGGCCTACAGTTGGCTCCGGGCATTCAAAATCATGCCCAGGAATGGAGTTCTGGGAACTCGAAGACCACGAAGTGGCCTACAGTTGGCTCCGGGCATCCAAAATGTGGCCCGGGAATGGAGTTCTGGGAACTCGAAGAGCACGAAGTGGCCTACAGTTGGCTCCGGGCATTCAAAATGTGGCCCGGGAATGGAGTTCTGGGAACTCGAAGAGCACGAAGTGGCCTACAGTTGGCTCCGGGCATCCAAAATGTGGCCCGGGAATGGAGTTCTGGGAAGTCGAAGAGCACGAAGTGGCCTACAGTTGGCTCCGGGCATTCAGAATGTGGCCCGGGAATGGAGTTCTGGGAGGTCGAAGAGCACGAAGTGTGTGACTGTTTGCGAAAAGCGCATTCGGACACGAGTTCGGACACAGCTCCCCGGATGCCGCCCCGACCCCCCTGTGGAGTCATCTGCTGCTCTCTTTTGAGCCTACTAGAAACCTATCAGCAAAAGCTGTTATGTAAAAATCAGGCCGATGCCCGAAGTCTGACAGACAATCGTTTGGCACATCCATTCTCTATTGTCTTGTGAGCAGGAAACTATGTTTTTTTCTTGAATTTCCAGGCCGGCTTCCGAAGTCTGACAAACAGTCGTTGGGCAGATTCATTCCCTACTGTTTTGTAAGCAGGAAGCTATGGCCGTTTTTTTTTTTTTTTTTTTTTATTTCCAGGCCGAGGTCCGAATTCTGAAGGACTTGATTGGCATAATCATACTCTACTGTGTTGAAAGCAGGAAACTGTTTTGTTTTTTGTTTTTGAATTTTCGGGCCAGGCTCCGAATTCTAATAGACAATCGCTTGTCACTTTCATTCTCTATTGTTTGTAAGCATGAAACTATGCTCTTGTATTCTATGTTCAAGCAGGTGCTCGGGGTTTTACAGAGAATGGCTAAGCGTATTCATTTCCTATTATGTTATAAATGATTCACGCAAGCGAACATGTAAGTAATTAAATAGTTATTCAATTATTTTTTAATGATTTGCGTAGTTCTCTTACTCATTTAACCATTGGCACTGTGTGGGGGAGGCGCGGAACGATGGCGGATTGAATGCAAATCAAAATGGTTATTTCGATGAGCACGCAAGCGAACATGTAAATAATTAGATAATTATTTAATTATTCATTTAATTATTTGCGTTGTTCCCTTGCTCATTTAACCATTGGCACTGTGTGGAGGGGGGGCAGAACGATGACTGATTGAATGCTAATCAAAATTGTTATTGCAATGAGCAAGTATATAACTGAATACTTATTTAACCTTTTTTTTGATTATTTGCGTGGTTCATTTGCTCATTTAACTATTGGCACTGCGTGGAGGAAGCGTGGAACGATGACGGATTGAATGCTAATCAACATGGTTACTTCATTGAGCACGCAAGCGAATATGTAGATAATTAAATAATTATTTAACTATTTATTTGATTATTTGCGTGGTTCCCTTGCTCATTTAACCATTGGCGCTGTGTGGAGGAGGCGCGGGACGATACGGATCGAATGATCATCAACATG